CTCATGCTCCTTCCTCCCTGGTTTATTCTGAAGAGACTATCTGAGTTACAAATCAACCAGCCTTTGAAGCAATGCGGTGGATGAGGAGTTTAAAGTTCAAGTATTGAGCAATGTTAAGGCACGAAACTCTCTTCTGTAAACAGTGCAGAGTCAGATGCCAGTGTTTTGGAGCAGTCGCAGATTTTTGAAAGTGGTGCGTGGCCTTGTAGCTGTCCTGTTTGTCCCTGTGTTTGTGCTTTCAGCAGCCACTTTCCCACTTGGAACTTGTGGCAGCTGTGACAAAACAGGAAGTGATTTGAATGCAGTTTGTTTTTACAATTTTCTGAACTTTGGAGTTTAAAAACAAGTTTAGCAGTGATTGACTGCCTTGCTTTAGTACCTCTATTTCTTATAAAACAACTGTGTCCTGTACAAATATTGACTTAGTCACGAGCTCTGCACAGCAGCTTTTGGTGCGTGTCACATTCAAAGCAAGCTTAGCTTTTTTTTTTCTTCTCTCGATAGAAACCGGTGGGGGTGGGGAGAGAAAGAGGGAACTGGGAAGAAAAGGAGGGGTAAGCCTTGCTTCCCTCCCTGCCTGCCTCCGAAAGCCAAACATGGCATCTTCCATGAGGAGCCTGTTTTCAGATCACAGCAGATATGTTGAATCTTTTCGGAGGTTTCTCAACAGTTCCACGGAACACCAGTGCATGCAGGAGTTCGTGGACAAGAAGCTGCCAGGCATAATAGCAAGGTAATAAAAAGGGACGTTTTTGCCCGAGGGGCAGGCCTGGGACTCGCTGTGCACCAGTGATAGATGGGCCAAGCGCAGCCCGGCAGGCTGGGCGCGGGGACAAGGGCGAGCAGCGACAGCAGCTCCCTGGCCCCTCCTCGCCGCCCTGCCTGCTTTTCTCCTGCTGTGTTTTGCTTAGATGTTTGCTTTAAACACTCAAAGGCTCTGATTTGTGCTGCATTTCCAGCTGCACGGAGATAAGCATTAACCATNAACACTCAAAGGCTCTGATTTGTGCTGCATTTCCAGCTGCACGGAGATAAGCATTAACCATTTGAAGGCAGAAATCCTCGTTCATTTGGGAAAAGATTAGATACAAATCTTTGAACTCAGATTTTTCATCCCTTCTCCAAATTTTACGTTTCAAAAAAGTCCCAAAGAGAGTCTGGTATGCTTTTCATTAGAATCAAATATAAATAATTGCCCAGCACCATTTACCCCTGAGGATTGAGTGGGTGTCTTTAAGTTCTCATAACATCCATTTAAATTCATTTTCCTTATCCATTTATCTATTATTGCAGTTATAACTGCCCTCCTCCCAAAAAAGTATCTTTTCATTTCAACTTAATATTAGCAATGTGGCCCTTAAAAAAGAGCATTTTCTCATTATTAGTGAGACTCACTAGTTCCTAGCCTTCTCGCAGACTCCTTCTTTTTCTTTTTGGTGATTAATGTGTTCAATTTGTGCCAGAGCTGATAAGCTTTATGCGAGTAACAGATTTCACATGCTAAAGATAATCAAATCACCTATCTGGGGGTGAATTGCTGTAACTCACTCTGCTTCAGGAAATAAAGATAGAAAA